TTCTTACAGGTTGTCCACCCTGCAGAATCAGGGGTCTAAGATGTGTGGGGAGCCTCCATGACCACAGGAGGTTCCTTATTTCAGAAGTTTGCCCTCCAACTCATGGAGGGCAACTGGAGCAGCAACAGCATGCCTGCTTGTCCATACTACACTCCCTCACATGTAGGTCGGTGGCGCTGTGGTCTAAACCACTGAGCCTCTTGGGCTTGCCGATCAGAAGGTTGGCAGTTCAAATCCGCACAACAAATTGAGATCCCGTTGCTCTGCCCCAGCTCCTGCCAGCCTAGCAATTCGAAAGCATACCAGTGCAAGTAGATAAATATGTACCGCTGTGGCGGGAAGGTAAACAGCATTTCCGTGCACTCTGGTTTCTGTCATGGTGTTCCGTTGCGCCAGAAGCGGTTTAGTCATGCTGGCCACATGACCCAGAAAGCTGTATGTGGACAAACGCCAGCTCCCTCGGCCTAAAGTGAGATGAACACCACACCCCCATAGTCACCTTTGACTGGACTTAAGCATCCAGGGGTCCTTTACCTTTTACCTTACTCCCTCACATGTTCACTTAATTCACGTTTAGAGTGCATGCTTGCTAAATGGAAGTCAGGAATAAATTTTAGCAGCCAAAGTTTTCTCGGGACAAGAAGATGATGCAGGGAAAATGTGGGAGGATGGACGGACGACTGATCCTGAATAAATCTTATTGAAGTGGCAGCTTGATTCTTCAAAGCAACTCTGGCAGGGCCAGAGCAGTTTGAGCTCCATAGCTGTAATGCTTTGTGAGTCATCTTCTTTTATATGGTTCCTTTCTTTTGCATTTAAAAGGAAATTGCTAGCACTTCTTACAAGTCAAGTGCAGAAGGTTTTGCACTTTGAATGCTGGCGAGGGAGCCCAGAAATCCTGCAAAGCCTGCCTCACTCAGAGGCCGCGTTAGGAACATGGGGTGTTAAACTGGTACCCAAACGCATCCGTGATAGATACCAAGAGATGAGGGAGACATCCAATTCATTTCTGCCTTGAAGATGAACCTATCTAGCTTACACTTTGAAAAACAATACATGAACTGAAACACAGCCATCCTCAGGAATTTGCAGTTCTCCAGCCAATACCTCCCATCTAGATAAATGTAGGTTCCTTCTCAATTCACTGATCTAAACAACCTAATCTATTTTAGAGCAACGCTTCCCTTTGCTTTTATTTTATTGCCAATTACAATAACTGAAAACAAACAGAATTGACAACATCAACAAAAAAGGGGGGAAAAAACAGCCACAATGAAAAAGGAAAAATATCAATCCATAATACAAAAGTCCAAACAAAATTACATATAATCTTGACATCCCTCCACCCGTATATGACATCCTTCTCTCATTTTAAGTTTGATTGTTGTGTTATTAATATTATTTTACCTTTATACCTCTTATAACCAATTCCTCCCTATCTTTACGCTGCAAACTTCATGCATTGCATATTGATATATTTATACCAGTACAATATTTTTTCATATACTCCTTTACACAGTCCCACTCCTCTCTCAGTTTTTGGTCGCTTCCCGTTGCTGCCGTGTCTGCCTGTTTTTCCATTTCCATCTCTACTGGCCCCCAACCTGCAAAAAGAAAAGAAAAAGCTAACAGAGTTTAGTGACACCTGTAACTACACCTAAGAATGTGTGCCTTGCATGCATGCAGATTGTTCTCCTGCTCATTCCTACTTCCATCTCTCCCCACTTCCTCTGTTGTTATCCCTGTCACCTGCATCAAATTTTGGATTGTAAGGTCTTTAGGGACAGGGACTTGCCCTCTGATATTTTGAAAAGCAATCTGCACACGGATAGTGCTTTGTAGCAGTAATAACAGTAGCATTAGTGGCAGGGTAGAGCCCATCTAGAACCATGGGCATCAAATGTTTCTGACTGAGTGAGATTAACGGAGTAATCTCCTGGAGACTATGAAGGCAGGAAGAGTCTCTGGGGTGGGAGGACATGCCATTTCCTAAGCAGATGACCAGGCCAGAAGGTGTGGAGTGAGTGATGTCCCCATTGTCCGCCCCTGTGTTTTGTGGTCAGGTCTTTTTTTTAGTTTCCCACCCATTTAATTTTCCTTCCAATGGAGGTATCTGTGCAGGGTGGGGAGAATTAACTATAGGGCTTACATAAGTTTACAGCTGATTTAGAGGCGTGTCGGGGAAAGGCTTAGGATCCTGTGAATTCAAAGCCTCACCCATTTCTCACCTTCCTTCATCAAAACACCTTCAAGAGGGAGTTCCATGGTCTTTTGTTACCCAGAGGTTGTTTTAGGGCAGTGCGACCAGTTTCCCCACATTGGGCATCCAGCATGTGCTTGTCTGGCTATGAGAAGGAGGTGTGAGATCTCTTGACAAGGCTCTAGAGTCCCCCCATCTCCCTCCCAAAGTCTAGTTAGCAAATGCACTAAGGGCTCTAGGACTCTGCCAGAGCCCTCGTGCTGCTTTCCCAAAGCCTGGCATGGTGTGAGGGCTGGGGTGCCAAATTTTCACCTGGCTCAGGGCACTAGAAGTACCAAAGTCTTCCCCTGTTGCCACCCTTCAGCTCTCCTTTAAAGGGGTTTAGGATTGCTCCCTTGATCTGTTACACCTTGTGTCTTGCTGACTGTAGATGTTTGCCCAGTGACATCTGTTCTTGCAGCCAACGTTGTGTCCTCCAATTGTTGCTGGACTCCAGCTCCCATCAGCCCTCACACGGCCCGTGGTCAGGAATGATGGAAGTTGTGGTTTAGCAACATCTGACGGGTACCATCATGTTGGCTACCCCTGCCCAGAGTTACTCGACTGAGCTTTCTCTCTTTCGTTTTTGGTTTATTTCCTTATTTGGTTCATGGGTGTTGGTTTTCATTGTTGTTGCATTAACTGTACTATTAATTACAACCTGGGAGTGGCAGTTTCTGTCCTTCTCTTGCTTAAAAAAAAAGTGTAAGAAAGAGTGGTCAGGTCAACATTGGCCATCCTTGGGTCTTCTGCAAATCTATGAAGAAAAATACCATCATTTCCACTACTTTGTGGGGATTAAGCCGTTGTTCTTCAAAACTAAAGCATTGTATATGTGTTTCTGAAGTTTATATTGAGCCAAACTATATCCACAACCTGGCTTGGGGGGACGGGACTTCAGTGCCTGGTTCAACTACGTGTGGCAAAATGTTCTTTGTGATATTTCCCCCCAAAGGACATGAAAAATCCATATCCATATCCTATTCACTTTGCCACTGTCTTGAGAAAACTAAAATACCTGTTTAAATGCAAAGAGTAATATCCGTAGTTTGTTATACTTATAGTACAGCGACTGAAATTAATGGACCAAAGTCCATGAATTTCAATGAGTCTGTGCTGACTATAACGTATGCAAAGTTCACCTGAAGGATTTAAAATGAAGACCTAGCACCTCTGACAATGAATTACAACCATATTACATCTGCCACACTGGACACTGCAGTGGAGATTCCTCTGCTATTCAATATGAGTGATTTACAGGCTGCAAAAGCACATTCTTTAATTCCATCGAAGTCCAGTCAATCTGACGCTGTTGTTGTTGTATTAAATAGAAACATGGCATGTTCCTGCTCAGCCATTTCATTAAGAGAAATAAGTATATTCTTGGCAGTAGAAATTCCACACCTGGCAAGTTTAATGGGTCTTACTCACATCTAAGTAGGTATAGGATTAGAGCTTAAATCTCTTCCATTGAAATCAATTGGATTTAAAGTACTTACATTTGGCTAGTATATATTATTTTACAGCTATTTATAAGGGAATGCTGAAGCAGTTCCTTTAAAGCTTCTTTCCATATGTATGATTAACTCCAGAGGGCACTGTGGTAATAATTCTGAGACTGGATTCTTTTGATTTATTTTTTTTAAAGAATGTTTATGAAGCTGGAAAACAAATTTTTCATCAGAGCTGGTCAAAATGAGAACTGAGGTGGAGGGGAGGAACATATCTGAAAATATAAGTAATATTTCTCTGTGCTGTCAGAAGGAAAATATTTCAGGAGCCTTCTTTAAAATGTTCTCATTTAACATAAAAGCTCATGTGGTGGAAAAATTAGAAAACTTTAGGGTTGTCTTTAAAAATAATAATAATCAAATGATCAGATTCATATAGTCGGAACCTTTTTTTTACATTTTGGTTGGCAAAACCAAAATACAAGGGGAAAATAATGGTTTTGACCTGTTTTTTGAAAAGGCTACCTTTCCTGCCCTCCCCCCTTCCATAAAAGTTGTTTTTAAAGTCGCTGGGTTAGAGTCAACCCTGTGATTTTTCACCCTCTCCTGCCACTTTTACAATGTAGGAGCTAAATGAGGCTGTTGCGGCCTTTAACGTCAACCAGCCATTATGAGGTTAATAACTATGGATAGCTGCTAAGAGGACATTGTTGGTCCAACTCCCATGACTGCTTCACCAACCGTGGCTCAGGGATGATGAAGGTTGTGGCTCTCTAGATGCTACTGGATGACAACCCTGGTGTAAGGCAAACTCTGCAAGGAAGCTGGGATGCTTATATGTCCCCAGACTGATCTCTGTTTGAAGGACTTTCTGGTCCAAATCAGGTTGAAAGACAAAGAACTGTGTGAAGGTAGAGCCGGGAGGGTCTTGACCATCAACAGAACCTGGGCAACAGATAGAGCAGAAACGCAGGTCCTGCTTTCAGTCTTCCTCGCCATAGTCATAGAATCGTAGAGTTAGCAGGGACCGCAGAGCCAGTGTGGTGTAGTGGTTAAGAGCGATGGACTCGTAATCTGGGGAACTGGGTTCGCTTCCCCGCTCCTCCACATGCAGCTGCTGGATGACCTTGGGCCAGTCACACTTCTCTGAAGTCTCTCAGCCCCACTCACCTCACAGAGTGTTTGTTGTGGGGGAGGAAGGGAAAGGAGAATGTTAGCTGCTTTGAGACTCCTTAGGGTAGTGATAAAGCGGGGTATCAAATCCAAACTCTTCTTCATCTAGTCCAACCCCCTGCAAAGCAGGAATCTTTCACCCAGTGTGGGGCTCGAACCCACAAACCTGAAATTGAGAGCCTCATTCTCTACCAAATGAGCTATCCCAGCCAGATGTATTGTATTTCTATATAACCTATAGCAGGGGCCAGCAAACTTTTTTCAGCAGAGGGCCAGTCCACTGTCCCTCAGACCTTGTGGGGGGCCAGACTATATTTTTTTTGGGGGGGAATGAATGAATTCCTATGCCCCACAAATAACCCACAGATGCATTTTAAATAAAAGGACACATTCTACTCGTGTAAAAACAGGCTGATTCCCGGACCGTCCGTGGTCCGGATTTAGAAGGCGATTGGGCCGGATCCAGCCCCCGGGCCTTAGTTTGCCTACTCATGACCTATAGTAATTATTTCTAAATGTTGGTCTATATGCTTACGTTAGCATATGCAAAATTAACATACCCTCTTTTTTATGATGCAGTGCCTCATATTTTGGTAACTGGTAAGTGACCACCTTACAAGAACCAGGTGCGTTAAAGACCGGAATAAATAAATGAAGGGTGCATAAAAGCATATTTTTAAAGATCTCGGAAGGAATAAGGACAGATATTGATCGCTCTGCTCCCCCACGCTACTCAGCCAAGGATTGCACAAGGGGCAACTGTTTTAAACACGGGGTGGGTGGACCTTGCATAAATCATCTCTGAAAATAATCTGAAACAAACAGTTTATTTTTCAGTACATCTGTTCAGTAAGTACATATTTGTAACAGCCCGGTTATACCATGTATGCTGTGATTTACTGATATATACTGTGGCAAAGTTTGCCATACAACAAGCTTTTGCATACTGTATTTGTTTCCTCACACCCCCCCCCACCTTGTGTCCTTAGGTGAACTCTATTTTATGTAGCAGGAGCAGCCTGTACAATGGGATGGAGCCTTCCTCCCAATACTGGTGTTGATGCTCAGTGGACACACTGATGGGAGTGCCGGATTGACTCCACTGGCACGTTCTTGCAGTCTCAACCATGTCAGCCCCCTGCCGAGCCCCATCCAGTGATGCTGGTGTCAGGAGGGTGGCTCTGTGGCTCTGCCTCAACACATGGGCCACCACTCTTAGGTGGGCCTCTCAGGATGGGGTCCACTTCTCTTCCTGAGTTGTGATCCTAAGGATTGGGAGGGTTTCTGAAAGGTTAGCACTGCACAGCATTCCAGCGAATTGTCAGGACGTGGTAGAATCTTCTTCGGAAGCAGGGGGTAAAATTGGATAGCCACCTGTTAGGGCTGCAGCTGCCATAGGTAAACAGTATCCAGTCTTAGGCAGCGGTGTAGCGGGGTCAAATTGTTAGGGGTGCAAAATTTCAACACGTGCTCCCTCAGTACAGCTGCGTGCTTCCGTTTCTGGGCTGTGTGGAACACGGCTTCTCCATACAAACTAGGAAATGACCTCTCCAGACAATGGAGCGACTCTTCTTATCTCCGTGGCTGCGATCTCCTTGGTAACACGGATGCATACTCCGTCTGTTCCCCTCTGCGTGGCCCCGGGTGCTGGGAACCCATGCTACGCCACTGGTCTTAAGGGAGAAAGGCAGAGCCGATCCAGAACATTTTGCTGCCTGAGGCTGAACAGCAAATATCATTCCCCTGCCCCACTGCAAGTCAAAGTGCAAAACAGCCAAGATTGTGCAAGTTATTTTGCCTTCTGGGGCATAAAACCCCACAAGTATCTCTCCTTGGGAGTAAAGATACAACAATAAGACAAATAACTAACAATTAGCTACCCTTCAGGCAAAACCTATTTGGTGTTTCACAACTTTCTGACTAGTTGCAGGACCTTAGCCAGACCTAGCAGAGTACACGCAGAATCCACGGAAGCAATTGGCAACTTGGCTGCAGACAGGATAGACGAAGCAGGAACCAGGAACTTGTAGTTAGGTGTTTATTATATACAGTGGACTATTTACAGGAACAGAACACGGATCTTTAGCTAGCTCTCTCTGACACGACTCACAACTCCTACACTGACACTGAACTCTGAACCTCTGAACTACTGAACTAACACATCCCAGTTAGTAGGCCATTAATTATCACTCCCTTGAGAGAGCTTGACCAATCAGGGAGCTGTCTCCATTGTCTCTGTTATCACCAGGCAGACTTACTCCTTCACATGACCTTCTGGCTGGCTGCCAAACCTTAATTGACTCTGTGTAAGTAGCTGCATGTACACAGTTTCCCAACAGTGTAGTGGGGTCAAATTGTTCTGGGCGCAAAATTTCAACACCTGGTGCTCCCTCAGTACAGTTGTGTGCTTCTGTTTCTGGGCTCCGTGGAACACGGCTTCTCCATACAAACTAGGAAGTGACCTCTCCAGACAATGGAGCGACTCTTCTTATCTCTGTGGCTGCAATCTGCTGGGTAACACGGATGCATACTCCGTCTGTTCCCCTCTGCGTGGCCCCGGGTGCTGGGAACCCATGCTACGCCACTGTTCTTAAGGGAGAAAGGCACAGCCGATCCAGAACATTTTGCTGCCTGAGGCTGAACAGCAAATATCATTCCCCCGCCCCACTGCAAGTCAAAGTACAAAACAGCCAAGATTGTGCAAGTTATTTTGCCTGGGGCATAAAACCCCACAAGTATCTCTCCTTGGGAGTAAAGATACAACAATAAGACAAATAACTAACCATTAGCTACCCTTCAGGTGACACTAAAATCAGCTGCCTGAGCGGGCCAACTCACCCTGCCGATTGATAGGACAGGGCCTGAAAATGTCATTATTATCTAGTCTACACTTTTGTATTCCTTCCATTTCTGTTGTTAACTTTTCTTCTGTTCTTACTGTTACCGCAATACAAACAATACTGGAGACTTCCCAGCGTCTTAAGCGAAGGGGGTATTCATTGCTCGGTTTTGGACCTGGAGTCGATTCAGTCTGAAGGAGTGGGAGAAGGCAATTATTGGATGTCACACTAGAGAATATTACTGTTTCTGCTTGAGCGGCTGGAAAATGGGAATATATGCTGAGACGGTTTAAATAAGTCATCCAAGATAAGTCTGACAGTCTGCGGTAGACCTGGGATCAATGCCCAAACTTCCTGATTTTACCACCGTACTTTTATGAATATTTGAACTCTAATCTTCCAAGTGGAGGGTGGAAAGCACTCCTCACTCCACCCTCAACATTCACGAGCAAAATAGAGTCTGCCCAGGCTGTTCCGACTAATGGGCACCTGAAACATTTGTTCCAGGTATCAGTTTGGGAGATATTGCCGGTAGCTAACCAGCAGTTGTTTGTTAAGAGTGAATCTGGAGGTTGCTTGGCAACACACTTTCATACACACACACACTCCTCAAAAAGGGGGGGGGAGGATAAGGAGGCATGGTTGAAGAGTTCAAAATATCTAGCTGCGTATGAACAGTGAGAAGACAGCACATTATGGTGACAGAAGGAATTGGGAAGAGGCACAGCATCTGACCTGGCAATGGTGAGATGAGGAGGCTGTGCATCTTCATCAAAACGTTGCAAACTTCCTTATAAAGATTTTGGAAGCACATGGAATGAGTCTCACTGCACATCCTGACTCTAAAAAAATAAAGACCAAGTTTTATAATGGGGCTTTAATGACCTGAAGGGACGCGGGTGGCGCTGTGGGTTAAACCACAGAGCCTAGGACTTGCCGATCAGAAGGTCGGCGGTTCGAATACCCACGACGGGGTGAGCTCCCGTTGCTCGGTCCCTGCTCCTGCCAACCTAGCAGTTTGAAAGCACCTCAAAGTGCAAGTAGATAAATAGGTACCACTCCGGCGGGAAGGTAAACGGCGTTTCCATGCGCTGCTCTGGTTCACCAGAGTCATGCTGGCCACATGACCCAGAAGCTGTACGCCGGCTCCCTCGGCCAATAAAGCGATATGAGCGCCGCAACCCCAGAGTCGGTCACGACTGGACCTAATGGTCAGGGGTCCCTTTACCTTTAATGACATGAAGCAGTGAGAGACAAGTGAGGAAGGTGGAAGATGTGCAAATCCACGATTCTCACCTATAATGGCCGTTTCTCAAGGCTGTCATTCCTCTTTGGAGTCCTCATGTTTACATTCCCCTGCAAAAAGATTTCCGTGAGGCAGCTCACTTTGGGAAACAGATTGGCCTACACTTCATATTGCACCCCATCAAAGGGGAAGGAGGGGGGCTGTTTTTGACTCGCCATGTCTGGCTTTGGGTATTTAGGTTAATACCATTAATGTGTGTCACCAAATGCAAGTTATACAAATGGAATTTTTCTGTCAGCTCTTCTGTGCGCACTTCAGGCTGAGCGGCAGCAACCAAGGTTTATGTGGATTTAGCTCAAGTAATACTCAAATCTTTAAGGGCTGAGGCCTGTCTAGGAGAGAACATGTGTCTAAAACACACACACAAAAATAGTCTTAAAGTCATAGAGCTACTATTGAAAGATTATGAAGCAGAACAATATCTCCCCCCCCCAACAAGTACAGTTTTCAACTAGCTAGTATTTTATTGGTTTGGCTGAGGGAAGTGGCAGGGGGTGAGATTTGCAACAGGGATCAGCACCTCTGTAGAGAATGTAACATCTAAACCAGTTCTCTTTTACCAGATTCCTATTAAGCTCTCCCCGTGACCTGTTTTGAACTGGCTCCATTCGCTACCCAGGGATCAGCATTTTTTAAAAATAATAATAAAAAAATCAGATGTTGGCAAAGGTAGGTGCTCTTGTTTTCAGTACGTTACTATGAACGTGAGCCTAGAAGAGGGAGAAACACAATTTTTTAAGTGAAATTCCGGCTAGTGGCTCAAAGATAGTTGGGATAATATATTGTAATGAGAATCAACGGGTGTCAAATAGTTGGAGATTTGTCCGGAATGTTCTGAACCAAGAAAATGGATAGCAACCCTTCCCGCTGAAGGAAGGGAGAAGTGAGTGTGTGAGGTAACAATAGAGGCAACTCTGGAACAAATAGTTGGAACCCAGAGAGCTGTTGCTGGAAAACTGACATGATATTGGGATGCTGTTTTCTGGAGAATTAATGTGTCTACTAGTTATCCTTTGAGCTGTGGACTTGTTTGAATTCTCCATGGTAGTTGTCGGCTCGGATGAAAATGTGCAGAAAGGTGCATATTTTAGGTGAAATACATATTTTAGAGTAAATGTAGATAAAATGAATAATAATAATAATAATAATAATAATAATAATAATAAGATTACTTATATCCTGCTCATCTGGCTGGTTTTTCCCAGCCACTCTGGGAGGCTCCCAACAGAATATTAAAAACACAGTAAAACATCAAACATTATAAACTTCCCTAAACAGGGCTGCCTTCAGATGTCTTCTAAAAGTCAGATAGTTGTTTATTTCCTTGACATCTGATGGGAGGGCGTTCCACAGGGCGCCACCACCGAGAAGGCCCTCTGCCTGGTTCCCTGTAACCTCACTTCTTGCAGTGAGGGAACTGCCAGAAGGCCCTCGGCGCTGCATCTCAGTGTCCGGGCTGAATGATGGGGGTGGAGACGCTCCTTCAGGTATACTGGGCCAAGGCTGTTTAGGGCTTTAAAGGTCAGCACCAACACTGAGGGCGCTACATACAAAATACATTTTAGGGGGGAATGCATACATAATATATGTATTTTAGGGGAAAACATGCACAGTGAGAACTGAATTTTTGTGCCGGTTTTAATTTAAAAACTAACAGAAAATGGAACAGAGCAGGCCTATGGATTGAACCCATGGACCGACCTGTCCATCCCTTTTGAAAGGAAAAAAGCATGGTCTCACCATTTGGGGAGAGCATGTGGTCCACACATGCAGCCCACACACAGAAGTTGCTGGCTTCTAAATTTGCAGCTAATACTATTCTGGTCATATTTACATGCAAGGGCAGTTATGGGGTGTCTCATGCAAAGACTCTTTTTGGAGCTGATCCTGGGAAGACTACCCATGATGCCCTGTTTCCTAGAAAGACTTATAAACAATGCCTTGATTTTTTATTTCAGTAAAAAATCTGGATAGTTAAAATCTGAATTTGCTTGTAAGAAAGTGAATAATTAAAGGCAGGCATTTTGTAGAGAGCAACTGTGGTTTATTTATTTTTATTGCAAAAAGGAGACAGACAGAAAGACAGGCCTGGTTTGCATGAACTGGCAGCACCTCCAAGTATAATGGGAATGTGCGGGGCAGCCACTAGGCTAATTGTACACAGCTACTCTTTGTGTAGGGACACGGGTGGAGCTGTGAGTTAAACCACAGAGCCTAGGACTTGCCGATCAGAAGGTCGGCGGTTCAAATCCCCGTGACGGGGTGAGCTCCTGTCGCTTGGTCCCTGTTCCTGCCAACCTAGCAGTTTGAAAGCACCTCAAAGTGCAAGTAGATAAATAGGTACCACTCCAGCGGGAAGGTAAACGGCGTTTCCGTGCGCTGCTCTAGTTCGCCAGAAGCAGCTTAGTCATGCTGGCCACATGACCCGGAAGCTGTACGCCGGCTCCCTCGGCCAATAAAGCGATATGAGCGCCGCAACCCCAGAGCCGGTCATGACTGTATCTAATGGTCAGGGGTCCCTTTACCTTTACCTTACTCTTTGTGTAAGCTAATCCACAAGCTGTGTGTGTGTGTGTTGCCACCTTGATTTGCATGATTGCATACCCTCCAACATTTTTCTGATGAAAATAGGGACGTCCTATCCAATAACTACACTATTCATACCTCACCCATCTGACTGGGTTGCCCCAGCAACTCTGGGCAGCTTCCAACATATATAAAACATAATGAATCAATAAACATTTTTTAAAAACACACTTCTCTATACAGGGCTACCTTCAGATGGCTCAGGGGTTGGATAACTCCATATCCAATGAAATTGGGACATCCTAAGGAAAAGCGGGACATTCCGGGATCAAATGAGAAACCAGGATGGCTTCTGTAAATCCAGGACTGCTCCTGGAAAATAGGGGCACTTGGAGGATATGTGGTAGAGAATCTGCTTCCATGCAGAAGGTCCTAGGTTCAGTCCTCAGAGTCTCGAGGCAGGGCTGAGAGAGACGCTGGTCTGAAACCCTCAAGAGCCACTGTCAGTGTAGACCAGGGTTTCCCAAACTTAGGTCTCCAGCTGCTTTTGAACTACATCTCCCATCATCCCTAGCTAGCAGGACCAGTGGTCAGGGATTATTGGTCTGCAACTGTTTTTGGACTACAGTTCCCATCATCCTTGACCACTGTTCCTGCTAGCTAGGGATGATGGGAATTGTAGTTCAAAAACAGCTGGAGACCCAAGTTTGGGAAACCCTGGTGTAGACCATACTAAGCTCAATGGCCCAGTGGTGTGATTCAGTATAAAGCAGTTCCCTATTTCCCCCTTCTTTATTTTCGCTGCTGTGTAACTTCAGCAGAAACCGAGCGTGAGTTCACACGTTGTTTTATTATTCTACGTGACAATTATAGTTATGGCTGGATAATCAGAATATGTGGAATAAATTGCTTTCATCAGCTGGTACGTGATCAGCCAACACGGATCATTGCTTCTTGCTAGTATAGGAGGCAGCCACCAGACAATGGGGGCTAAGCTGGAAGGTAATATCATAGATTGACCACAAACCTTCATAGTCCTGCTTTAATTGAATAAATTAACTCACCCTTAGCTAAATGCTCATGACCCAGAAAGAAGCAGCGGCAGCTACTGTGGTTTGGCAGCCCATGCCAGAACGCATACAAAGTGTATCTTTTCTGCTCTGTGGCTATGAAACGCTTCAAAAGCAATCGAACGTCTGCTTATTCAACCTCAGTAATGAAATGTTATGGTGCCAAAGGGAAACACACACACACACACACACATCTATAGCTTACAAGTATTTCATAGACTATGAGGAATTTGGGCATTTTAGCCATTCACTTGTTTCCCGTTTTGATCTCACTTTGTTCTATTGAAAAGATAATTGAAGTGACAAACACAAATTTGTAATGAGCACAATCAGAATTATTAAAAATGTTCCATCTTGTTCCCTGTCTTCAGGTGCAAGAGGGGAACATAATCCACCATGAGATGTGCTCAACACCACTAAGAATGGACACTCACCATTGCGCTGGTGGGCATCGGCTGTGGACCATCGCTCTCCACCCAGTGGTGGAGCTTCATGGTCCGGCACCGGGGGGCAGAGAGCAGATGAGGGTGGGGCTGGTGTGCATGCTGGGGCACCCAGCGTGGGCAGGGGGGCAGCCGCGATGGCACCCCAGCAGGATCACGCTGCCGGGGTCAGTGCACTCCCCCCACACTCCTCTTCCTCCGCCAGTGTCTCCACCTCCCTCCTGGTGGCCAGACCCACATAGTTGCCACCCGATGGGGAATGCCCCCTGGCCGTCGCAGCCATGGGGGCGTGACTGCCTGGCCAGTGAGTTGGGTTCAAATGGGCCAATCAGGGCTGAAGTTATGGGGATGTTCTTTGCTGGCCAGCCAAGCATTGGCCACTGCTTTAGCCAGCCGGCCAGCAACACTTAAAAAGGTGTAATCCCAGTCTTCAAATTTGGGTGATTTGGTGCATCACCCAGTACTGATCCAATGGTGTATTCAGAGTACCCTGTTAGAGGGGTCTCAGTGGAAGTCTCTGCCAGGAGCCAAGGGTGGGGCAGATGGATCATAGAGCTTCCAGTGGCGGCCTTAGGATGGACACCTCATTTGATCAATGTTTGGGGAGGCCATAATCCTGGCACAACCCTACAGAGATTCCAGCCCTCTGACAGGAGGCTGAAATGGATAGACACCCAATACCTGACCCTAGATTCAACTTACAGCCGTGAACAATAAAGTTGTGGCCAAATGGTTGTCTGCCTAAGTCTGATCTGCTACGGGTTATCTAGTTGCCGCCAGGGAGAAGGATGGCTCTGTGACTGGGCCCGCAAACACCTCTGAGGTGAGCACAACAATTTTACTTTATTTTAGCCTCTTGCCTAATCAGTTGATGGGAAGGGGATATGTGACTCTATGTACATAACAACCAGAGATATTTTTATTTCTTAAAAACAATCACACATGGCCCCAAAATGGAGGCAGGTAGAGGGACTGCTACATCATTGTAAAGGTAAAGGGACCCCTGACCATTAGGTCCAGTCGTGGCTGACTCTGGGGTTGCGGCGTTCATCTCGCTTTATTGGCCGAGGGAGCCGGCGTACAGCTTCCGGGTCATGTGGCCAGCATGACTAAGCCACTTCTGGCGAACCAGAGCAGCGCATGGAAACGCCGTTTACCTTCCCGCCGGAGCGGTACCTATTTATCTACTTGCACTTTGACATGCTTTGGAACTGCTAGGTTGGCAGGAGCTGGGACCGAGCAACGGGAGCTCACCCCGTCACGGGGATTCGAACCGCCGACCTTCTGATCGGCAAGTCCTAGGCTCTGTGGTTTAACCCACAGTGCCACCCGTGTAGAGGGTAGAGGTACTGCTACATCATTGTATTCCCCTCCTAAACAGTGTCCCTGCAAACAGTAAGAAATGGCTGTCATTATCATGTCCTCTTGGGGAACTTCTGACTGGCCACTGTGACAACCATTGGCCTCAACCATGGAAAGATGGTTCTCCTGGTCTCGTTTCATAGATCAAAGATGGGCAACTTATGGCCATTCCTGCCATGGTCAGGAATTGTAGGAATTATGGGAAATGTAGTCCAGCACCA